AAAAAAAAAAAAAAAAAAAAAAAAAAAAAAAAAAAAAACACAAGTACCCAACATCTCCTTTGAATTCATTTTCTTCCATAGCTGCAAGCAGCAGCGAAGATCTTTGGCTATCAACACGAGCATCAGGCGGTAATGTATTTCTTGTTAAAAAATATATTATATCTCCTTTGTATGAAACTACTTTCTCTAGGGGCTCTATGTTGACCTTCATCTGTAGAGAAAAACAAATAAAGAAAAAATTAAAATACACAGATATCGCTTGCTGGGTTTTTTTCTAGGCTTTGTAAGAAAAAAGTTTATATATATATATATATATATATATATATATATATATATATATATATATATATATATATATATATNTATATATATATATATATATATTCTATTAAGTACAAACGGAAAGAGGTAAAAAGAAGCAAAAAAACAAAAGAAGAAAAAAACAAAGAAACAGAAAAAACTAAACAGAAATAAATAAATAAGAGCAGCAAGGGAAACGCATAAATATAAGAGATAGAGAGAAAGAGACAGAGACAAACAAGTATAAAGAAGAGACACACACAAACAAATCAACACACAATGCAGCAGCAGCAGCAGCAGCAGCAGCAGCAGCAGCAGCAGCAATTGCAGCAGCAGCAATCGTAACAGAAACAGCAGCAGTAGCAGCAAATGCAGCAGCAGGAAAAACAGCAACAGCAGCAGCAGCAATCTCAGCAGCAGCAAAAGCAGCACCATCACAACCAGCAGCAGCATTAGCGGCACCATCACAACCAGCAGCACCAGCAGCCACAGCAGCGACAGCAGCAGCAGCAGCAGCAGCAGCAGCAGCACCAGCAGCAGCAGCAGCAGGAGGAATTACCTTGGTAGCTGCATGCAGCTCTGTGAGAGGCATCTCTGGCGGGTCTGTTTTTACTGTGCGCGGCTGCGGCGGCACCATTTTCGTTTGGTTGTTTAAATTTCTTTTTGCTGCAAACAGAGGAAAGTTGGGGTGTACGTACACCTGAGATCTGTGTAAACACAAAGATAATCTCGGGTGTATAGGCACCTCAAACGGGTGGTTTTTATGCTGCAGTGAAACAACACCTCTCTTATATACACGCAAAGGGCTATACCCAGCAGCAGACAGCGGCAGCAACCGGCGGCCAGCAGCAGCAGCAGCAGCTGTGGCTGCTGCTGCTGCTCCACCCTGCATCCCCCCGGAAACGCCTCGTGAGCAGAACGCAGCTGGTGCTGCTGCTGTTCCTGCTGCTCTTGCTGCTGTTGCTGGGGTTGCTGCTGCTGCTGCTGCTGCTGCTGNTGCTGCTGCTGCTGCTGCTGCTGCTGGCCCAAGGCCTCGCGTACACCCCACAAGACCCTCCGCAAAGACTCTCCGCCCCTGGATCTGCCGGGGGTCTAGCTGTGCTGCAAGGGTCGCTTGCAGCAGCAGCAGCAGCAGCAGCAGCAGCAGCGACAGCAGCAGCAGCAGCAGCGGCGGCAACGGGGGTTGCAGAGAGGTGCCCCTAAGCATCTGCTTCGGGTCCCCTGGTATCAAGGGGCCCCACTGGGTTGTGTTAAAGAAGAAATAAACGCAAAAGAGAGAAAAGGCATCAACAAGCTCAGGGTTCTGCTGCTACAGTGTACATACACCCTACACGCTAAGCCAGCAGCAAGAGAAGCAGCAGGAGCTGTATTGTGTATTCTGATGTTGCGGCAGTAAAGCAGTTGAATATGCAAAGAAAATATACTTGTTAACACATGCTCACCTTTGGTTTTAAAAGAGGTGTAGCAACAATTAGGGTTTAGGGTTTAGGGTTTAGGGTTTAGGGTTTAGCGGCGGAGCAGAGTGATGATAGACACGGGAGAGGCTGTTGGTGTGTTGGGGGCGGGCCTACCTTCTGCTGCTTATTTTTGTTGTTTTCCTTGAAGACGGCCTCAAAAGAAAGAAAACCCCTAAAGAAATAACTGAAACAAAAGTGCAAAACACAAACAGCTGCGTGTTGCTGCCAGCAGCAGCAGCAGCTGTACATACACCTCCCCGAGCCACGGCCGAGCGCTGCCGCCGCTGCTGCCTTCACAGCTCTATAGCAACATCTATATATGAAAATATAGAAAATTTTTATTTATTTCGTTTATTAATAACAATTTCACGCAATTCAACTTATTTATACACCCCATCTTCCTTATAATCACGCCCCTTACTAGCAGCCCGTACACCCTGCAATAGATAACGAAACCTACTTGTGCTCCAGTGGTGCCAGGCCTTACACTCCATTGAGCCCCCCGATAGTAAATTTACACAAACACCGATTTGCATTCTCCAAGAGCTTGCATGTAGGTGTATGTACACTGCACGAGCTGCTCGCATCGTTTGTACACTGTACGAGCTGCACGCAAGCGCACGTACACTGCACGAGCTGCACGAGTGTATGTGTGTGTGCACACCGCACGAGGTAGACGCATCTCTTGTGGTCTGCACGAATTCCAAGGAGCGTGTATGTACACTACAAGCGCTCCACGCATGTGTATGCACACAGCGCGAGTTGCACGCATTGCTTGACCCCCCAGTGCCAACCACAGCTCCCCGTCAGACGGTGTGATTCTGTGATTAAAATCCTCCGCCTATTTGCAACTACAACATCTGTTTTGCAACGCAACAGCACCGGCTAGCCAGTAGCATTTCGCGGCACTCCGGCGCGCAAGTTCACTTCTCTTGGTGAGGATAGAGAACCGCCTAAGCCACAGCAAATCCCTAAGTCAAATCCTACAGATACAAGCATCCTCAGAACCCATAACTTATAAGTAAACTAAGCTGTAGTCAACGAAGAAGCTTTTTGTGGGGTCCCAATAACCAGCATACACACGACCATGGATGCACCCTCTGAAAGATCCCGAGATATCTGAGCGTTAGATTTCCATTACGCCCAGGCCCTTGTGCACATATCCGCCAGACAAAAGTGTATTTGAATATATAAGCAGTCTGTCCGACAGATTACTGCAAAAGCACGGCTAAACAGAAGTACAGGAGGCTAGGGTCGCTGCCATCATTTATGCTGTTGGTCGTCGCCGGCTGCACTCTGCCAACGCAAGCCCTCAGAGTGGCGTGTGCTGAGCAGCAGCTAAATCTCTCTCTTCATCATAGATGATGAGGGAACACCTTCGCTGCAAGTATCTCACAGCACGGGCTCGCGCCTACCTGCAGCATCGATCCCCACCTGATGGGGGTACCCGGGCCAAGCACAGGGGGGAGTTCAGCCCCGCCTCTTAATTTCGTAAAGAATGAAAGTGGTCTCGGCAGCGACGCCAGATTGGTAGAGGGAAGCGCACAGATCACACCAGAAATAAATTGAAGCGCGGGAGCATGTATATACAAATAACATTTCCTTCGTTTGTTTTGCGGGGAGACGCCAGGGAAATTTTTGACTTATTTTATGGTGGACGGCTTCCAAGAAGCAGTCCCGTACAATGGTAACAGCGGCCGAACTGGACCTCCATTCTATCCCCGTAGTTACACTGATCATAGTTTCATCTCTGCAGACAGCAGGAGCTGTGCTAAGGAGTAGACCGATATGCTGCCCTTCTACGCCGGGCCGTCAGGTGCCAGATCCATGCCATAGCCGGTGTCAACAGGCTATGGCGTGGTAACACCAGCAACTCCTCAGCACTATCACAGAGTTGTATACACGTAAAGTCGAGTCGAGGAGCGGTTTCGGTGTTGCTCTCTCTTATCCCCTCCCCTGACCCGCATGTTGCTTGTCGCCATCTTTGCTTTCCTGGCCAGGCACACCAGAGTCTTACTTCTCCAGCTCCCTAGCTGTTTTCATGAGCAGATGATATCAAAATATGTGACTTGGTTCACTGCAAGAGAAGCAGCTGTGCCTCTGTATGCTTTCCTTTGGCTTTTCTGTTGCCTGCTGTTGTATCCTGTACTCCCTTCTCCCCTTGGGAAGGGCGGGTATTCACAGTCCCTCTGTTCAAGGCTTGGCTTATGTACAGCCATGGAGATACGAGAAGCAGTTTACAGTGATAAGTTTCTGCAATTCACATATGTATTAATTCCTGAGTTGCCTTTGTCTGGATTCTATAGATTGTATGTATGCATGCAGATGAGCGTCAGGGGCCAAGAGAAAGCTCCACATCGCCTAGGCGGCAATCTCGGAGTGGACACTCAGGTCGTGGTCTGGCCGATCGTAGAAATAGAAAAGTAATTTAGTGCCTAATCAAGTGGGGAGGTGCTGCTTAGGACCGGCCTCCATGGGAACCACTTCACCATCTAGCTAGCCGCCTGGTGTACTGCCACCTTGGCGGCAGCAGTTCGGCACACAACAGAGCGTCATCTCACCCTGAGCTGTTCGTCTAAACCACGAAATACACAAATTTGAAGTGATCCATCGGGTTTTCAGCTGTCCGTGAGCGGAAGCCGCCTTTCTGCTGCTTCCTTTAAGCGACTAAGCGATGCCCTGATGGTGGCCCCGAGCGAGTTGGTGGAGATGAAAGACATCATAGAATGTCTGAGTAAGAGTTAGCTCCAGGAGTTAACTCTTACGTAGACATTCTACGTTCCTCATTCTATCTGTGATCGAAACGGCCCGCGGTACCGATATTCAAGTTTGGAGCAACCACAACACACGGTGTATTCTTGCTGTTCACCCACCCTTTTCCCGCTCCGGCGTACTCGACATCGGTAAGTTTGAGGCCTAGGAGGCTTTCGGTTATCACTTCACCCGTCAGCTGTGTCGATGCTAGTGGTGACAACCTTATCGCATGCACACAAAAGAAGGATCGGGGGTGTAGGAGACGGGACCAATACCCCCAGCCGCTGCTTACTCAACTCAAGCTACTCAGGGTAAGAGCCCCAAAAAGGCCTCCCATTCAGTGTCCAGCCACCGTGGAGCAGCTGCACAAATGCCTGTTGCTGACGCGGAGATGAGACTGTCTGTACATATATGCCTTATATAAGCCTTGCTACAGCGGCTCCTGTGAGCCACCCGGCGTCCCTAGACACCTCATCCTCCTTTTGCTGCATGCAGGAACACCGTATACAACTGTTAAGCACTGGCTTGGCTCTCAGTAGCCAGCCTGCACGCGGGGAGAAGTGGTTCTGGTGAGGCCACCAAGACTTAGCCACGGTGTACTCGGTGTGAGTTCAGTGGTAATACACCTCACTCGAAGACGAAACAACCGTAAAAAAGCTATTTTAAGAGTTTTCACGATAAAATAATGATTTAATTACTACAATTCAAATGTTATTCTATTTTTTTTAGCTGGGAGGCTATTTGTACTACTGAAGCCAAGCAGAGGGCAGTGCTGGTTTGAGTCAGTCAGCTGGCGGTGCTGGCGCCTGACGCGCTGCGACAGAAGAAACAACAACAACAACAATTTTTCCTTGAATTTAAACTAAATTTACTGTTTTTAATGAAATAAACAACAATAACAGACAAATGCACGTAAAGGGGATTCCTAGCAGCAGAGGCTCTGGGGTCCTGTGCTTCGTTTGCGGCTGCTGCAGGCCGCTGCTGCCGTCGCTGACTGCTGCAGCTCTGCGTGTTCTCTTTAACATATTTCTGTGTTTGTTTTCTCTTTATAAACAAATCCTCTTGGCTTTGTATAAACAATATCTACACCAGCTCCATACACGACAGCAGCGGTCCAAACAAAATACGCACAGGGGCCCCCAGCAGCTACTCAAGGATCAGGGGCCCTCCTACGCTGCCGCTTCTCCCTCTGCATTTTCTTTTTTTGTGTTGCTGCAATGATGCTTTCAGAGGTTGAGTCCTGGGTAGCTGACGACTCTGACAATCCCGAAGTGGATTTAGGGCCCCCAACAGATCGGGGTCCCCCCGAGGGGGGCCCCTGGGGGCCCCCAGAAGCCTCGTTGGGGGCCCCCCCCCGGGGCCTCGCAGCCTCTGCTGTTGACCTCGATGACTTCCTTGGGGACTATGAACAGTCGCAGGCTTCTGTCTGGTCTACAGAAGCAGACTTTGATATACCGCCGGTGGTGCCATCTCTTCGTGAGGAAGCAGCAGCAGCAGCAGCAGCAGAAGCAAGAACAGCAGCAGCAGCAGCAGCAACAGCTGTAAACTCAAAACCCCAATCAACATCAGCAGCAACACGAGACAAAGCTAGCTGGCCTCTTCTTCACCGCGAGACCTTCTCTGGGGGAACATTCAGCAGAACCTCTGGGGGCCCCATGGGGGCCCCCGTTGAGGGCCCCCTGGGGGGCCCCCAAACAGTATTTGGACAGGGGCCCCCTCCTCGCTGCTCCTCTCCTGGCTTCAGCTACTGCGATAAAATACCCTTCAACTGCGTGGGGGGTCTGGGCCGCATGCGTTGGGTTGAGGGTTCGTTTGGGGGTTTGTTTAGTGGTGATACATTACGGGGTGCATGCAGGGAGTTATATTCTTCTGTGTTTTTATCTTATTTATTTGTTTTTGTTTTATTTGTTAATGCTTGGGTGCTGCTGCGCTGGCTATCCCAGTCCCCTGTAGACAAACCCCTCGTTGCTGCTGAGCTCTTCGTCTCCTGTATGCTTATATTTGAGGTTTCTCTTCGTTCTCTCGTCCTTGTAAGAAATACACCAAAACCCTAAACCCTAATATAAACCCTAATATAAACCCTAATACAAACCCTAATACAAACCCTAGTCCAAACCCTAGTCTAAACCCTAACACAAACCATAATATAAACCCTAATACAAACCCTTATCTAAACCCTAATACAAACCCTAATGTAAACCCTAATACAAACCCTAATCTGAACCCTAGTCTAAACTCGAATTTAAACCCTATTCAAAAGTTGGGGCCCCCCAGGGGCCCCATGGGGCCTGCTAGGTCCCTTTGGGGGCCCCCGAGGGGCCCCCTGGGGGCCCCTGTTTTTGTTGTCATGTTATCTTCTGTGTAAATGGGGGTTGACTGAAGAAGGCTGCAGTTTGCATTGCATCTGNTGCTGCTGCTGCTGCTGCTGCTGTTGCTGCACAGGGGCCCTCGTGTTTCTCCTCGAGCGCTCATCTTTTTGACTGCACCATCACGACCCTCTCAGTGGTTTTGTTTCTTAACAGCGGTGACATCCGCGTTCTATTCCGGGGTTCTCCAGGGCCTTCGTTGCCCCCAGAGGGGGACGCTGGGGGGCCCCCTGGGGGGGCCCCCGGGGGCCCCCGGGGCCCCCGTACCTCCCCTGAGGCCCCCGATGACTTCCTGAGGGAACTTTTGACGGCGCTGCGGATCGCTACGCAAGTTGTGCGTTTGGTGCCGCTGGCGATGCACCAGAGACGCGCGAAGGTGAGAAACTAAGAAAGCTTTAGGGGGTTGTAAAAACACCCAACACACCAGGGGCCCCTGGGGGCCCCCGGGGGGCCCCCAGGGGCCCCTGAGGTCACCTTAAAGGGGTCTAAGAGGGAACGAAGGGGTGTTAAAGGGGCCCCCAAAGGTGTTAAGGGGGCCATTAGGGAGCCTGCTTAGTATACACAGTTCCTTGTAGCATGGAGTGTACAGACTGTTGCTGTATTGCTGCTGCTGCAGCAGCAGCTGCTGCTGCTGATGCTAATGCTGCTGCTGCTGCTGCTGATGCGCCTGTGCTGCAGCTGCCCCGTGATGGGGTCGACTTCTCCCGCTTAGACCCCCACGACGATCTCTGATTTTTTCTGTTGTCTCCGTGGGGCCCCAAGGCCCCCCAGAGGAGTGAAGAAGATAAATTTATTTATATATTTAAAGGAGTGAACAGAAAATATATATATTTATTTATTTATTTATCTCCTTAAAGGAGTTGAACAGAAGGAAATGTTATTTAGTTCAGTACAGGTGTTAGGGAGAAGTAAAAAGAAAAAAAAATAAAAATTTATTTTATTTTTTATCTTTATAAAGAAATGAAGAGAAAAGAAAGTTATATAACTCCATAAAGAAGTAGTAAACAAAGAAAAAAAAAAGAAATCTTATTAACATATTAACTCTATAAAAGAGTAAAAAAAAAAGAGAAACGAAGAAGAACATAATCTATATATTTATATAAAATATAGATAAACAAAGAATATAAACAAATAGTTAATTTTATTATTATTTTCATACAAAACATAAAAAACGAAATTAATTTATACGCGGAGACAAAATTGATGGATTTCTTTTTTCTTTGTTTAATAAAAAGAACAGAATACAAGTTTGTTTACTCCTTAACCCTAAACCCTAAACCGAAAAAATATATATTTAACTCCTTAGACAACATAAACAACCACCTTTTTTGTATCAGGGGCTGGAGGGGCCCCAAGAGAGGCCCATGGGGGCCCCCACATCCCCCTCTATCTCCCTGTCGTGGTGTAAGCACAACTGCATGCATCGCGCAGGCCTTGTAGGGGCCCCTATAGGGGCCTCCAGGGGCCCCCGTGGGGGCCCCTGTGGGGGCCCCCTTGAGGCCCCATGTTAGGGCCCCTATGGGGGCCCCTGTGGGGGCCCCGGTTGGGGCCCTGGATACCTGCGAGTTTTGTGAACCCTTTTGGGGGCCCCCAGGGGCCCCTATTGGCGTTGCTTTTTTTAGCCCTGATATTATAAGGGCCCCCAAATATATTTATTATATATCTTGAATACGGATAAAGAATTCTTGTTGAAATAAATAAAAAAAGCTGAGGATATACAGAGTTGCTATCTTCTCTGTCTTAACAAGTGCAGCACAAAGAACTCCAAGGGGTACAGAGGGGCCCCCTTAGGGGCCTCTGTACCCTTTGGGTCTCTTTAAAGAGGGGGCCCCTATAAGCTGCTAGCCACCAGTGGCAGCAGGAAAGAAGAAGATAGATGGGGTTTGTTTCTCTTTCCCTCTTCTTCCTTTATAGCGAGAGACACAGTGTACGTACACCGGAGACTGCGGGGGTGGCCCAGTGGTTGTTTATTATTACTATTATTATTATTATTATTGTTGTTATTATATTAGGAAGATAGTTATTAGTTGTATTCTTCTTAGTATTTATAGCGATACAAATACTGATACGTATGAGTTTTATTGTTATGGGTGGCGGGCAGCGCCTGCGCCCCCAAGCGAACTGCTGTAGCTGCTGCTGCANGCTGCTGCTGCAGTGGCAGCGGCGAACGCAGAGAATAGCCTCAGGTGTACTGCACACCGTCCTTTAGGCTTCTGGGGCAGCTGTATCTTGAGGCCTGTGTTGCTGCTTTTGTGAATCCTGTTTATACAGCTCAGGTGCGTCAGGTGTATCTGCAGCTCTTATTGTTTTGTTTCTTCTGCCTCTCTGTGTCTCCTTTTCTAGCTGAGGGGGACGACCCAGGAGGGGACTGGGAGGGATTAAGGAGTTTCTCGGCTTAGTTTTGCCAGTTAAAGTGGAGGGTTTAGGGTTTAGGGTTTAGAGTTTAGGGTTTAGGGTTTAGGGTTTAGGGTTTGGGGGGCATGCGGCCTCAGAGGCCACCACGCGTACGGTATCGGCTCCAGGGAGCGGGGATCGATGTGGGGGGGCTGCGCTGTATATACAGTGAATACACTAGAAGGTGAGTATTGAAATATCAGCACAGAAGAGGAAAATATAATTTATAATAAAATATAGAAATAAAGCAGCAACAGGTAGCAGCAGCAAAGTTTCTTATTCTGTGTCCGCCTGCTGCTGCTGCTGGGGCTAGGCGGCAGCGTGTCGTTGTTGTTTGTGTAGTTCTTGCTGCTGCTGCTGCTGATTTGGGGCTTTCTGTGTGGCTGCTGAGGAATTCAGCAGCAACATGAATGTTTAAAAAACAAATTTATATTGCATGCGGAGCTCCTGCTATTTTATTTACCCCTCTTTTCGTCGCTGCGGCTCCTCCGTCTCTAGCGGTCCCTCTCTGCCTCTGATGCCCTGGGGCCCCCAACAACGAGTGCTGATGATTGCATGCATTTTTTCTTTAAACAGCGATGAGCACTCCTCTGGGTCTGCTCTCTTTCTTCCTCGGCAGCACCAGTGGGATCCCGCGGCTGCTACTGTTGTTGCTGCTGCTGCTGCTGCTGCAGCAGCTTCATATTGCTGCTGAAGCCGCACAGAATTGGAGCGCTATTCATGCAGACTCTCCTTCATCCAGTGGGGTAGTTGTGGGGTCTCAGCGGGGCCCCAAGGGGTTTCGTAGTGGCAGCAGCGGTGTGGGATCGATCGATCCCAGCTCATCAGTGCAGGTGTCGACGCCAACGAGGGAGTCTGTGGTTGGGACTGATGCAGCAGCAACAGCAGCAGCAGCTGCTGCTGCTGCATCTGCAGCAGCAGGAGTAAAAGCAGCCGCATCAACGCGAGTTGGCCGTAAAGATGATTCTCCTTTTTCTAAGAAAGCTTCTCAACGTGCTATTGCAAGACAAAGATATAAAGAATTACTATTCGATCTAGGAGATGCATCATCTGAAGCATCAAGTACAGGTATAGGGATAAAAGCATATTCAAAAGGGGGAGCAAAAGCAAAAGCAAAAAAAAAAGGAAGAAATACTTTCTGGTTAGTTGTATTGGGGGTTCTTGCTGCTTTTGGTGCTGTCACTGTACAACATATAAGAAGAAAGAAAACACTTTTTCAACGCCTAGATCGTATAGAGCCGCTAGCAGCAGAAGCTGATCAGCTAGCTGGGGGTATAGCTACAGAGGAGAGTTCAACAGCAAAAGATGCAATACATAATTGTATAGAAGAAGCAGGAAGAAACAAAAAAATGTTATTACAATTACAACAAAATAAATATCGTGTACCTTGGGCATCAGCAACAGAACAAAAACTCTTAAAAAATACACGCGAAATGCTTGATGAGGCGGTGAGCGCTATGCGTTCTCTGCATACAGCAGCGAGAGAATCTGTGAAACAGGTACAGGAAGCAATACCTGCTGCTGCGGTGTCTGTACAGTGGGCAGAGGAAGCAGCACCACATATTGCTGCACTTGTTAGTGAAGATTACTCTCAAGCTTTGCTGCTGCTGATGCGATCGCTGCAGCAAGACGCAGAGGAGCTTCAGAACGAAGCAGCAGAGGTACGCAGCCACAGCAGCGAGGCTTTGCCTTTTAGGAATGAAGCTGATGGGTCTAGGTTTATATCTACACGTATGCAACTACAATATAGTTGGGCTATAAGAAGAGGAGTTGCTCTGAATAACAATGCTGCAGCAGAATTACAAGAACAAACATTTCCTGCATTTCAAAGTGTTGCAATACAGCTCATCGAGCAACAAATACAAGCATCAGCACAATCTATAGATAAAATAGAAACTATATTCGAAATGCATGAAGAGGATATAAGAGCTGCTGCCATGGGGGGTACACTCAAGGTGGGGGGGACCCTCATGCAGGTGCAGCAGCAGCTGAAAGCGATAAAAAAGAAGCAGAATGTGCTACAGAATATAGGAGAACAAGTGAAAGACAGAAAGAGTGTAGCAGATGTCGGTGTGCTGCATGCAATGGCGAAAAAAACTTTTGATGAATTGGGGCTTTTACTGGCTGAATGTGAAAAAACTATGCAAGCTCTGCCGCAGAGGGGGTTGCTGGTGGTTGTGCAGGAGCAGATGGGTGGGGTTGTACAACGCCCCTTGGCTCTGGCTAGGAGACATGTAGTTAATGTAAAAGAAATATTACATAAGATAGAAACAGAAGTGAAAAAAGGAACAAGAGTAGATACAAGTGTACGCCTCAGTGGTCGGTGGCCTTATCTATGTACAAGCGCACTACAGAAGATAATGATGGGCTTGAAAGCAGCAGCAACAGAAGCATCTGATAATGCTGCAGCATGTGAAGCTGCAACAAAAGCTATTAAACAAAAACAATCAGCAACAGAAGCAGCAGAGGCTGCAGCAGAAGCCCTAGAAACAGCTAATCGTGTATTCAAGGCAAGATGTACAGCCGAGCAGCTCGCTATGCAATTCTATCTTCTGCATGCACTGGAGGCAAATATAGCAGAAAGTACCCAGGCTATTCTCTTATTCAAAGGCGACGTTGAAAAGGGTCTAGGGGGCCCCCAAGGGGGGGGGCCCCATGATGGCGTCCATGGGGATCATGCAGCAGACAGCCAAGGAAGGGGGGGGCCCACCAACCCCATGCAGAAACAGATAATGAAGCTGAGACAAGACCTTGATTTGCAGTTAGCGTTTATAGAAGAGCTAACAAGTCTAGAGAAGATAGCAGAAGTAGCAGCAAGACTGAGAAGCCGTACAAGGAAAGTTGTACATATGTCGTATACTTCTGCATGCGGTCTATCAACAGAAGANAGAGATAGAGGAGCAGCTAGAAGAAGAAGAAGACCAAGATCAAGACATATTGTATCATCCATTGTATCGGATACAGATGCTGAGGCAGATCATGCCTCTGATCGTGCTGCTGCTGTTCCTGCTGCTGCTGCTGCTTATCCTCCTGCTGCTGCTGCAGATACTGCTGCTGCAGATACTGCTGCAGCTGATGCTGATCCTGATCGTGCTTGATGCAGCGGATACTCCTCCTATAGCATCGCGCAAGAGTGGGGCAGCAGCAGCAGCTGATGCTGCTGTGGCGGCGAAAGCTGAGGCCTCACCACCTGTTGCTGCAGCAGCTGCCCCTGTGGCTGCTGCTGCAGATGATGGATCAGATTAAACTGTTGTTTTGCTGCTGCTGCTGCTGCACAAGGCAGTGTTCGAGCTGCTGCAGCACATACCCGTGATGCTGATCGAGATGCTGGGACACCTAATCTCGGTTAAACTACTGATCCTCATGCTGCAGGCGGAGCAGCAACAGCAGCAGCAGCTGGTGGAACACCAGCAGCTGGTGCAGCAGCAGCAGCGGGTGCAGCAGCAGCAGCAGCAGCTGAGGCATCTCGGGAGCGGCATCTTTGGAAGATGTCGAGGGCGCTGCTGTACAGGCAGAAAGGAGTAGGGCCATCAACAGCATTCACAGAGGTGCTGCTCAGCTGCGTGAAACCAAAGCAACATATTCAGCAGCAGCAGCAGCAGCAGCAGCAGCAACAGCAGCAGCAGCAGGTGCTGGGCCACGGCGCCGCTGAGGCATCTGCTGTCTGTACACCCCACGGACTTGTGCTGTCTGCAGCGAGAGACGGAGATGCAGGATCGTCTCCTTTGCCTCGATCCCGGGGCACCGAGTGGAGGGACACACAGATGGAGACGTTTCACCGTCATCGGCTTCAGCGCACAACAGCAGCAGCAGCAGCAGCAGCAGCAGCAGCAGAGGAGCTCTGACAGAGCCATACGGGGGCAAGTGCGGGTCTGCGTCGGCGAGGCGGATGAAGCAGACGACTCTCTTTAGCTTGCTGGGGCTCGAGCACATCTCCTCTAGCCAGCTGAGGGCCCCCAGAAGGGATGAAGGGGGGCCCCTCACCCAATTATAGTATCTTTGCTCTTTATTCAATTGCTGCAGCGCGCCGACGTGCTGTATGCAGCTGCTGCGTCGTTTGCGCAGCTGCAGCATCAGTTGCTGCTGTTTGCTGCTGCAAGAAGCAGCTGCTGCAGCATGCGTGTAGTTCTAAAACATATACAAGGCCCCCAACGGGCCTCCTGATGTCATAGAGACCACGGGGGCTGCTGGCTGCCTGTGGGGTCCCCGCCGCGCTGCAGAGGTGAGCTGTAGCTGCGGTGTTATCTTAATGGGGCCGTGAAGGAGACAAGAGAAGGAGGAGGAGTATGTTGTGCTGTCTGTCTCCTTTGCCTTTGTCTACTTTGTATGGATGTAACTTTTGCGCGTTTGTCTCTCTAGCTCCTTTATATTATTATTATAGTTCTATGGCCGTGTCTTCTGTGTGTATGTATGACGTCATATCTTGACTCTACTATCGTTCTGTACTCATCTATATCTTTCTGCTGTGTTGGCTCTTCTCTGCCTCATGATCTTCTTCCTTCTCCGGTGGTACGCTAGCAGCATGCAGCCACGTTTTTTTTTTTCGGGGCTGCATGCTCAAGGCAGGGCGGCCTCGCTGTCTCCTCGCGGCAGCGCAGGATCTAAGTGACCACGCAGCAATCCAAAGGCGGGCCTGCCTCTGCACGCTCTTGAAGAGGGCCCCCTAGGGGCCCCTGCGAGGAGACCACCTCGCGGGGGCCCCTAGGGGGCCCCAGCAAGGGGACAACCTCGGGGGGCCCCAGCGGCACTGGGGCCCCCTCCATTTTCTAGCGCATTTTTCACTTGTGCCACTCTGTTTAGTGCTGTACAACTAATTCTTATATAATAATTTCATGGGGTGAAGATACAACTAAGTCATAGATGTAGTTCAGTTTAAGCCCCCCACAACCAAAGATAGGGATAGCTATGGATGCAGCAGCAGAAGGAAGAGAAGAAGCAGCAATCCCTGAAGCAAAAGGCTGCAGCAACAGCAGCAAGCAGCAGCAGCTATTGTAGGTATAGAAATGCACCTTACGCCCCCCCCCCACACAGCCAAACAAAGAGACATATGTAGCTGTAGCAACATAGAGAACACGAGAAGCAGCAATCGCTGCAGGTGCAGCAGCAAACGTAGCTAGAGGAGCTATACGCAGGGGCAGGTGTAAGTGCTACAGCAGGAAGAACAGAAGAAGCTGCAGCAGCCGCAGCAGCAGCAGAGCGCAGGAGAAGGCAACGAGAGGTGTGTCCCCTTGACGCCTGAAAAGGAGACAGAGGAAACGCGTGAAGGATGAAGCGATACAAGGGTTAAATAACCCCAAACCCTAAACCCTAAACCCTAGGGGCGAGAGAGCACTCGTAACAATTCAGAATAGAGCAAACGCATCACTCATCTACATGGCAACCAGCGAAGGGTGTATATACGCACTATGTATGCGTATAAACGAATATATTATACATATACATATTATATATGAGTGCCTCCATTACAGCAATAACAACAACAACAACAATAACAACAACAATAAAGCAAAAACAAAAACAGCAACAGCAACAACAAAACAAAAACAACAACAACAGTAACAACAGGGGATACGGCCTTCGTCCACCGGGAAAAGATCAAGTGGCGGTTGTGCTAGAAAGCATGCAATTTCTATGATGCTATATATATATATATATATATATATATATATATATATATATATATATATATATATATATATATAT